AAACTATCCATATTTCTTACTTTTTAACTTCTCTAAATGTTGTAGAAACTGCTACATATTAAATAAATAGTAAAATTTTGCAAATAAAAAAACTTTCCTACATTTCACTTATTTTCAACTACGAAAATTATGAAGCATCCAACTATTAAATAATTTCAAATGTAAGAAATATCAACTAAATGTTTTTAAACAGTTTTACTTTAATTTTCACTAATTTTATTTTCCTAACCAGAAAAAAATCCAGTTTTAAAATGTATTTCACAAGTTATTTTGAAATAAAAACATACTTGAAACTCAAAAATATTTTGCATCTAAGTTGATAAAGAATTGCAATTTTATGAGTATATGTTAAGTAAGTATTCGCCTACTCAACGCTAAGGTCTAGGGCCAACTTGATATTCATTCATTCAATAAATACTAATGACCTATCTGTAAAACACTATACCAAAACCTGTGAGAGAAATAACAAGTCATTTAAAAAGGTCAAAACTACTGCATCACGTTACAGATCAAAGCTCCTTAAAAGAGTAACATACTTTTCTGTCTCAAATATAGTTACAAGTCCATAGAGATTTAAATTAAGTTGAACTGAAGTTTCTCTTTCTGAAGCCACTGGTTTCTGAATGGTATTGAAAAAACAAATTACTAATGCTTTAAACTAAAATTATATTCCTAGCATTACCTCCACTTCCCTGTCCAATTCAAATACTGCAAGAAAACCCATTCTGGTAAGAAAGAAGAAAGAGAGACAGAGAGAGAAGGATAGAAGCTGGGAGGCAGGGTGGGAGATAAAGTAACAAAAAAAAAATAGGTTTAATTGAAAAAATTTAAATGGTGACAAAAGAAAATGGGCAAAGGGAGAAATTTCTACAACACTAAGAGAACTGCTCTCTAGGGCAGGGACTGGCACACTTTTTCTGTAAAAGATCAGAGAGCAAATATTTGCAGTTTTTTTTTTTTTTTTTGAGACAGGGTTTCACGCTTGTTGCCCGGACTGGAGTGCAATGGCACGATCTTGGCTCGCTGCAACCTCCAGCTTCCAGGTTCAAGCGATTCTACCACCTCAGCCTCCCAAGTAGCTGGGATTATAGGCATACACCACCACATCCAGCTAATTTTTGTGTTTTTAGTAAACATGGGGTTTCAAGATGTTGGCCAGGCTGGTCTTAAACCCCTGACTTCAGGTGATCCATCCTCCTCGGCCTCCCAAAGTGCTGGGATTACAGGCATGAGCCACTGCACCCGTCCTATATTTGCAGTTTTGAGGCCCTATGGTCTTTCACAACAGCTCAACTATGGAACTGTAGCTGAGAGCAGCCGTAGACAGTAAGTAAATGAACAGGAGTGGCTGTGTTCCAAAAGAACTTTGTTTACAAAAACCAAGTGGCAAGTCAAATTTGGCCCAGGTTCACAGTTTGCTGACCCCTTGCTGTAGGGGAAAAAATTCAAAGGACTCAATACTGGCTACAGATAAATGTCTAATTAACTACTGTATAATCTGCATTTTAAAATAAAAGAAATACTCTTTAAAGTGTTTCCCAAATAAACATTTATGTAAGTTATAATGAGTTCCATTTTCTAGGCATAACTACCAAATCTGATATTAAACTCTAACTTCTTTCCTGACTAAAAGTAATTTTTGTGAACAAAAGGAGCTATTGGTTGGGCATTTATAAGGTTTGGAAAGAAGATATACAGTATGCTTTGAGTCATTTAGCATGAATTTATTAGCAGTAGTAGCCAAAGCACCAGGCAAAAGAGAAAAGACTAAAAGGAACTACAGCCTGTTGGCTCCCCACAATAGGTCAATTTCAATTGTTTATTCAGGCCAGTAGTTGTGAGTGAAAGAGGCAATAAGGAATATAAGATTCTTATTTGTTCTCATTACCACCTTCTTCTAAGATTACAGATAGGCAACCGGGCGCAGTGGCTCATGCCTGTAATCCCAACACTTTGGGAGGCCTAGGTGGGTGGATCATCTGAGGTCAGGAGTATGAGACCAGCCTGGCCAACATGGTGAAACCCCGTCTCTACTAAAAACACAAAAAAATTAGCCAGGCATGGTGGCGGGTGCCTGTAATCCCAGCTACTTGGGAAGTTGAGGCAGGAGAATCGCTTGAACCCAGGAGGTGGAGGTTGCAGTGAGCTGAGATCATGCCACTGCACTCCAGCCTGAGCAACAAAAAGACTTCTGTCTCAAAACAAAACAAAACAAAAAACACAAAGATTACAGATAGGCTTTACCTTGTCTATAATGATGAATTAATTACTCATAAATTTACTGAATTTATTTTTAACATGCATAACTTCCTGATGAAATGCATTCCAAAACTTAATATTCTATTATATGACCCAGTGCTTTAGTATTTCGTTTTATTCTTCCTAAATCTGCCTCTCTAAGCTCCACAAAAAGCTATCTCATGTGGTTAATTTTTAAACAAATGGAGTCTATATTCCTATTTTCCTTTTTTTTTTTTTAGTCTGATCTTATCGATGTGTTACTCAAGAAATCTTATTTCTGACTGGATTCAGACTTAGAAGTAGAAGCTCCCAGAGAGGAAAGTCTGAATTTCTTGGCAATTTGTTCCTGGCGCTTCTGTTTAGCCTCCTTCATTCTCTTGGCCGCAAATTAAGCATATTCTGCAGCCTCTTCCTAATTTTTCTTAGTATGCTGCTTCTCAGGCAGTATGCCGCCATTTGTGCTGCAGGACATGTGGAGTAACAAGACGCTGAATCTTGGGTGCTTTGGTCCTAGGTTTCTTACCTTCTTTGTTTAAAGGCTTTCTTACAACATACTGGCGGACATCATCTTCTTTAGAGAGACTGAAAAGTTTGAGGATTCTGCTAGCTTTTTTGGGCCCCAGGCGACGAGGCACCGTAGTATCAGTCAATCCAGGAATATACTTCTCTCCTTTTTTAACAATAACCAAGTTAGAATGCTCCAATTGGCATCCACAATGCAACCACAAACTGATTTTCTCTTTCTTTCTCCAGTTCTTCTTGGTCTGTAACAGGAATGCCCCTTACTCATTAGCAGGTGGACACGGCCATGAATCAAGATACCCCGCTTCATGGGGAATCATTGTTTGTCGTTACCACCACTGATTAGGACCACATAACCCTTCCATTCTTCAACCAGAGCATCAGCAGCAACTTCTGTGGCCATATGCTTCTCATAAAAAGTGCCGTTTGCATTTATTGTCCACTTCAATGAGTTTCTGGCAGCCAGTGGCTGGGAAGGAGATGTCCAGTTTCATCTTGAAGCAGGTGAATGCCTCCGAGGTGCCATGAAAAAGAGCTCATTATCCATTTTATTTAGTTATTCATTCACTCATTTTAAAAAAATCCTATCTCCATTGGTTATCTATTTTTTCATATACCTTGACCATTATAACTGCCATTTGGGGAACTTTCTTGATCTCTGAAGTCATTGTGTAGCAGATACTACCAGCAACCCAACCATATTGCCTCATCATTCACCATTCCCTACATAGCAATATCGGCTTACTATAAGTGTCTGTTACATGCTGCCTGAGCGCTTTCTCTGGCCAGTGAGTTTCAGAGAGTTAACAATTCCCATGATCAGCCCTGGACCAACAACAAAGGAGAGTTGATAAATAAATACTCCAACTTTCTTGTCCTCTATATAGGATAACTCTGAGGTCTTTCTACCCAGTCTCCCAGAAGAAGTCTCCACAAGATTAAGATGACTGTTTTCCCCAAAGATAGGATTACATATACTGTTCCCTTTTACCACTTTGTAAAAGAAGTGATGCAGTCATTGTTTTCTTTTTCTCTTAAGATCCAACAACGTATTGGAGTGGTGACTTTAGGCACCATCTAAAATGACTCCCAGTGGTCTTACTTGTTAGAACTGATACCTGAGAACCCACCATACTATATATATAATTTGTTCCTGCAGAAATGCATGACTTTGTACTTATTCAACACAGAAATAAATGTACCTGCTACTTCTGGGCAACAGAAATAGTATAAACCAAATTTAAATTTATCTTTATTCAAACAGAAAAATAAGGTATAGAAAAATAGGCCGAGCACGGTGGCTCACACCTGTAATCTCAGGACTTTGGGAGGCCGAGGTGGGCAGATCACGAGGTCATGAGATTGAGACCATCCTGGCCAACATAGTGAAACCCTGCCTCTATTAAAGTACAATAGCCAAGCATGGTGGTGCACACCTGTAGTCCCAGCTACTTGGGAGGCAGGGGAATCACCTGAACCTAGGAGGCAGAGATTGCAGTGAGCCAAGGTCGTGCCACTGCACTCCAGCCTGACAACAGCGTAAGACTCTGTCTCAAGAAAATAAATAAATAAATAAATAAGGAAGAAAAAGAATCTCCCCATCAAAATCCTTTATTCTCCTTCCAAAGGTAGGAAATATAAGAGCCCTATGTACTATTTTAAGTATCACACTTTGAACACGGAGAAGCCCATAGAACTGAGCCAAAATAGTTACAACAGAGTTAGCACATGGATATATCAAACTCATGAAATCCTTCACTATAAACCTGACGTTGGGTCTGCATATACTTGCTTGAAAAACCACATCATCCTTCAGCCCAGGATAGAACCTTTGGAGATATTGTTAACCTTCCCCATTATCTTAACTCCCACTTCCAACTAGTCCCATCAATCCAACCTCTATAAAGTGTCTTATAGCCATCTCTTCTTCATTCCCATTAGTCCAATGCCAGTCTCTCTTTCCTATGACAAAAACTTCTAAGTTCCCTGTTTTATTTCACTTCTTTATTCTGGGAAATCTATCTGATAACCTAACACTCCCACATCCCATCTAAGATAGTTCAAACCTATGATAGGTCAAGTCCTGAACATCACATACAGTATTTATGTAAAACATACGAATGTTTACATTACTTAGACAACTCACCGTTGCCTAAACATTTCATGTATTGTTATCTCTGTTTGGAATGAAGACTAAAAGTAAAAACATTTGCCTAAAGATTAAACAAAATGTTTACCTGTCTGAAGCTATGTCACTGGCAATGTGATGCTTCATGCCTGACCCATTTTTAATAGAATCCTGTCTTGTGAGCCCATGAGATCGACTTTTCTCCACTGCAGGTACAGATAAGTCACCTGAGGGTCCTTGGAACTGGGTCTGCTCATGTAGTTTTGGTTTCTTCTCCTGAGGTGCCTCCTCATTTCTTAGCCCTCGAAGAACCTTTTGATCAGGTTGCTGTGGTGTATTAGTTCCACTATTATAAAACCACGCTCCTGATTTAGTGAGGATTTCTTGTTGTTTTCGGCACAAATTACATACCCACATAACCTGCACATGAAGACATAGAGGGAAAAAAATTAGTGTTCCCAAAAGTTAAAAACAAAGAAAAAGAGACAAAAATTCAAGCAAACAAAAAATTATATGGTTATCCTTCTGAAGTTAAAACATAATCCCAATTAACTGCTACTGTAAATTAAATAATACATACTTTCTTTTAATTTTTTTGAATAATTCTAATGAAATAGATAACATTTATTGACCACAAAGATAGCAAACTAGAGTCCCAAATTACTGATTGTTCATTTGTACTATTTAATTCGTTTTATTTAAATTAGAGGCATTGTGTAACACACAGAAAATAGATTTTGAAGCTAGACAGTTGGGTTTAAATACCAACTCCAAAATTAGAAACTTTGCAACTTTCAACAAGGAACTGAATCTTCGTATCTATAAAACTTAGTTTCCTTAATGATAAAATAGGGAAATAAAGATGATAATTTCCCTGTATTTTGAGGCTGAATATTAGAAATAATTTATTTAAAATATCTGCAATATTACTTATTATAAAGAAAACTAGCTGTTAATATTATGTTAACATTCTATCAGCAATTATATTATTCTTAAGGGGGCTTTTATTTTTTTCAAGTAGCACCTAATGGCTAAAATAAAGCTACAAGCTTTGTTGATCCTCTATTTTAAAAAACCTATTAATTGCTAATAATTTATAGTAATGCACTTGATGTTTTTACTGTGGCAAAAGACACAAAAAAAAATTTGCCATTTTAACCATTTTTAATTGTACACACCTCAGTAGCAGTAAGTATATTCACATTGTGAAACAGATCTTCAAAACTTTTCTTGCAAAACTGAAACTCTACACCCCATTAAACAGCAACAGCCCTTTTCCTCTCCCAGCACAACTATTCTATACTCAATTTTTCAACAGATATATTTTTCAGATTCCAGAAATCTAAACATATTGTAATTAATATCTCTGTGGCCAGAAAACCCTTCACCATTTTCCGAAAAATCCTTTTCAATTAATCATTTAAAAAGTCATATTATCATAAAATAAGCATTCATAATTCAAGTGTATGAGTGCTAATGTTTTACGTCAAATACTTACTCTTACACAGCTCTCCAGGTTGCTAAACATTTTCTCACATGAAATAAATTACAACAGTATAGATAATCACAGTAAAAGGTTCAACATGGTATTTTCAACTGACACAAAAATGTTTCTGTAAAATACCACGTAGATTTTTTACCTTATTGTCCATTATTCCAGTTCATAGTTTGTGCAGATCTTATCACACAACATTGTACTTGCTCATTTTTATTATTTTTTTCTTTCATTGAATTGTATATACATTTCTTTTCTCCCCAATTAAATTTGAAGCTTATTGAAGGCAGGAACTACATCTTCTACTAACGTAATAAAACCTTATAAATTATAGAATGGTAAGATATAATAAATGTTTGCTAAGTTTAAGTTTTTAAAAATTCTTCTGGGGGAAATATGGTAATAATATATTTGATATTATTAGGCCAAGATGTATGTTCATTAATTTCCTAAAGAATTAGTCATAAATAATATCAATATATGTACGTATTTTATTTTTATAAGTATTTTGATGTGAAAACACCATTATTTCACTGAAATTAAAAAGAATATGCCTCACAGTTCAAATTTCTTTTGCTACAATTGATTTGAATAGACATGAAATATATCTAACCCATCAACAGTCTCAAAATCAAATTTGAGTCAGCATCTCAGTCTTTTGATGCCATCTTGTGACAAATGCAAGTACTGCAGATCTCTTTTAAAAAGTCACGCTAAACAGATCCACAAAATAATGCAAAAATAAATGAAGTTTGAATTTCAACTTTTCTATTTTAAACAAGTTGTTATTTATGCTTCAGTGATAATTTATGCTAGATTATTATAAGATATAAATTTATCTGAATTAGGTCACACTCAGAGTACTGAAAAAGAGCATCCTTTCGTGTCTGGTAATCAACAAATGAAACAGAAATGAGAGCTTGTGAGACAGACAATTATCCAATCACTATCATCTGCAGAAACAGCATTTTGCTGCTTTGTAGCAGTTGAAAAATAAAATTTTTCACAAGGTAAGCAGGTTACTTAATGTATTTTAGAGCAGAGCTTCTCAAAGAATATCCCGGAGAGAACAGCATCAGTATCACCAGAAGTGCAAATTCCCAGGTCCCACCCCAGACTTACTGAATAGGAAACTCTGGGGCAGTTCCCAGTAATATTTTACCCCAAATCCTCCAGGTAATTCTGTTTGCTAACATTTGAGATCCACCAATCTATGGCAGAGATTCCTAGTTCAATATGTTAAATGGGTTACAAGTATGCTCCTCAGACTGGCTAAGACCAAAGGAGTTCATATTCAGCCTTGTCAGTTTACCTTAGTGTGAACTGCTGACTGTACAAATAGTATTGTTTCTGTGGAGCCCAAAATGAGAAAAAGAATTGGAAACACTATCAGCTTAATCTTCCTCATCTGCTAATATCCAGTGAATATTAATATAACACAGATGAGTATAAGGTATGAAGGATGTCTGATTCCTATTAAAGACTCTCCATGTGTTAATATCCTTCTCACATTCCCTGGGCTATGCACACTGCTTGCTCCTTTTCTGACTAGATCATTTGTTCCCTCCTAAATCACTAGCTCCTATATCCTTCCCTTCCTCCTTTCCTCCCTCCTTTATTCTATATTCCTCCCTCCCTTATCCTATATCCCTGCCTTCCTCCCTTCCTTCTCTCCTTCCTCCCTCCCTTCCTTTCTTCCTTCTTCTTCTTTTTTTTTTCTTTCTTGAAACAGGGTCTTACTTTGTCACCCAGGCTGGAGTTCAATGGCACAGTCTCAGTTCACTATAGCCTCAACCTGCCAAGCTAAAATGATCCTCCTGCCTCAGTCCCTCAAGTAGCTGGGAGTACGGGTGTGGCCACCACGCCAGCTAACTTTTGTATTTTTTGTAGAGATGGGGTTTCACTATGTTGCCCAGGCTGGTCTTGAATGCCTGAGCTCAAGCAATCTGCCCGCTTCAGCCTTCCAAAGTGCTAGGATTATAGGTGTGAGCCATCACGCCTCCTAGTATTTTCTTATTCATATATTGACACCTTGGTTACCTTTCTTTTCTTCTTCTACCATCTCCTCCTTCTCTTGGATTAATAGTTGATTAATTCTTTAAGCTCAGGAATTCCAAATATACCCACATCAAGTACTGTCATGTGCTGCATAACAATAGTTCAGTCAACAAAAGACCACATATAGAAGGGTGGTTCCCTAATATTATAATACTGTATTTTTACCATGCCTTTTCTATATTTAAATATGTTCAGATACATAAACACTTTTCATTATGTTACTACTGCCTACAATATTCAATACAGTAACATGTTGTACAGGTTTGTAGCCTTGGAGCAACAGACAATATCATCTAGCCTAGGTGTGTAGAAGGCTAGACCATCTAGATTTAAGTACACTCCATGATGTTCGCGTGACAAAATTGCCTAATGATGCACTTCTTGGACTGTATCCCCATCATTACCAATATGATTGTAGTACAGAAAAACTGACACTTTCACTTGTAGCCCTTTACACAGATAGCAGCTTAGCTTATAAATTGGTGACAATATTGAACTACTTCTCGCAAACACCAATACCTCTCACAAATACATATATGCTGTAAAATGATTTTTCATTAATTGGCTATGAAATGATTAATGGCTATTAAAGATAAACTCTGCGTCCATGGAACAAAATTTATAGAATTTGGCAATAAAGTCACAGGCCTTTTGCTAATAGAACACTTTAACCAATTACGTTAACCACATAAGGAATGCTGTCTAAAATATCTCAGAAATACACACGCGTATAAATCTCCCTGGTTAGAGACTATTAACCAATTCTCATAATTACCAAAAACATCTAGAACCTGAGAATACAAAACATGTAGGGTTCAAAATTATAGATTATTATTACCTTCAGTCGTAAATAAGCCAAAATTTAAAAAATAATATAGCAATATTAAGATATGGAATAATGTCTAATGACCCAAATTTGTCACTTACTATCATGTGTTTTATTCCATAAACACCCTGAAAGGAAGGGAAAAACTAAGGAAAATACAAATATCTTTTTTAAACCACAAAAATAATAACCATAACAGCTGCAGTGAATAGTAAAAGAAAGCAAGAAAATCAAACTTACATTAGGTATATACAATAATTGAGAGCAATCTAAAGGTCTGCAAAATACTATGATTTTCTTCTAAACAGGGACAAAAAAATAGAGTAATTCAAAAAAGGGAGGGATTATAGGTTAAAGACTGATGCTAATGAGACCATAGGTCAAGATCCTATGATCCAGCTAACTGCACAGAAAAAGGAATTCACTAGACACTACCTCTAACCATTGCCAACCTGCTCCTAAGTGTGTGTATGCATTTGTCAGAGAGGAAATAAGGTAAAAGAGTATAAACTGATCCATTACACAAACAGAAAATTGTTGAAGATTCTGGCTAGCTATTCAACAACTTATTTCCTTTCCTCTTAGAAAACTACATTTTCCATGTTATCATGGGCAGCCATGACCATACAATTATATTCTAGCCAATGGATTATAAGTGGAATGGGTGTGCCACTTTCATAAACTTTTAAAAATTCTCATGTGCTGTCTTCCTGCTGTTCAGCCAAGACCTTGGAGATAAGGAAACCACAGGAAAAAAAGGTGCTGCCTAGGAACCTGAATAATCACTAGGAGGAGAGCACTCAGCTGATCAGCTCACCAGTGTGGACTTCACATAGGTGAAAACTAAACTTCTACTAAGTTGAGCTTTAAAGACTTTTTGAGTTTATCTTTTATAATTGAGAGCATTACCTTGACTAATTCACAGTCTTTTTAAAGTACATGTTTATTCAATGTGTATTACTAGCACAATCTTGTATGTGAAAAACAATACATTACTAGAGAATGAATATGAAAGAGCTTCAATGCTGTTCACCAACTCATGAGAACCAATTGTGTGCTTTCTTCCCAACTCCACATTCCATGAAGTAATGTGGGTTAGGCTGAAATCAGCCGTGGTGGATGTATTTAGACTAAATAAATTGGAAAATGCCAAAAGTCAGAGATTTTTCTAAAAGAGAGCTGGTTGTTAGCAGGTACGAACACACCAGTGACTATAATATATTCACTACATTCTACTAAAAGAATAATATTACATTTAGTAGATAAACTTAGATGAAACTATAATGTAATTTACCATAAAAATTAACTGAAATCATAAAATTCCAATTTTATTATAGATGGGCAAGTAACCAATTCATTATTTATTTACTTATACAATATTTACTAAATGGCTACTATATGCCAAACACTATGCTAAGAGCTGGTGAATAAAGCTTAACAAATATAGAGTTTGCTACAGAGTATAAAGTATAGTAGGGGGACAATAAGCAAACAAATAATTGCACAAATATTATTATAATTATCATAAATGCTACAAAAGGAATGCAGTCCCACCATAGATCTTTCCCTCTGGCCCGCATTGTATTGGGAAAAAACAAGGATGCAGAGATCTGCAAGAGGTCTGGAAATCCAGAGGTTCAACCAGAGCATTACCCTAAAGCGTTCCCACAATCAGAATCATGGTGTGTGTGTCTCTAAAAAGGCAGAATTCAAGGGTAGCCTGCGCTACTAAACTACAAGCCCTCACCCAGCACTGCCATGGTGGATTTTGAAAGTAGACACATTGGCTCATATCCTGGAAGGTTAATGTTTTCTAATAGGATTCCTTAGGCAATTAAGAGATACTGTCATCCATAAATAAAATCAGAAATTTTCTTCATCTGATGCCCCTGATACAAGCAGCAAGACTCCCAGATTTCCCCTGAACTGTAATCATGGCATTTCTAGCAACACTCACACTTATAGGCTGAAGCAGGAAAGTCTGACTGGTCTTCCTTAAATCTCTCAGGAGGCAACAGCACATCCTCCTGAGAGCTTTAACCTTAAGCATTTCCCAGTCTTAGCTGTTACAAACTGTTCTATGTTGGCTATTGTTGTGGCTTTGAAAAATTTACTCACAAAGAAAGGTAGCTTATTTATTTCTCTATTTTTGATCTGATTTTTCTCAACAGCACACTTGCCAGATTCTTCTTTAAAGCCACTCAGTAAATTGTAGGCTGAAAAATAATAGCTCCTTTGGACAAATTCTCTATTTCTTATATTTCTGCTCCTTTTTTGGCTGTTCTCCAAGAAAGTATTCAGGTGTTCTGTGAGGCTTATGCTGCTACACAACCTGCAGCTCATCGAATCCATAGTCTGATTCTTCTCAACTTAGACAGACTTGTACTTCTCAAAAAACCTGATCTCACTTCAGTTCCCACAGCACTGCCAACTTCTCTTAGTCCCTGAATGATCCTCTATTTCTCTATGGCACAAGCTGTCTACTCTGCAGCTTCTTCTGCAAAGTCATCTCATCCCTCACTATAGATGGGTGTCATGTCTGGGACATGTAGTTATGCTCATTACTACAACAAAGGATAGTTCTGGAAGTCAAGTCTGACCTTTTCTTGGCCTTTCTGAATCATGATGCACTGCCAAGTTCATTCTGAAGTACCTATGTCCCTGGTGGATGCTAGGGCATCCCAAAGGGTGATTCCCTTCCATGGATCTCCAATAATAATAAGAGTAAAGGTACCCTTCAATTTAACCAAAATGCATCCTCATCCTGGGTCAAAGCCTGGAAAGAAGAGACTGGAACATACCTCTAATCATCTACTGGCCTCACCTGTCTTCTTTCTCTTCCCCTACAATGTAGAAGAATAGAAGAAGCAAGCTTTTCCTTGACTTTTCTTTTTTGTATACCTAATACTTTCCCCAAATACCCTCAGGCTTGAAGTAATGAGCTTCAATCTTCCCATTTCATCGATTTCATCCCTTAAGCCATCCATTGCCTTAATGGCAAAGGAGAAAAAAGACACCAGCTTACTGATAAAAGAATCTAAATAGGAGGGCAATTATAATATAATATATGCATTACACTGTGTTTTGAACATTGTCGGCTATGTTCAGAGATTAATATTTGCCCAAGTACAAAGTACGGACCAGATACACCTCGAGAAAGAGAAGTCCTGGTAGCTTCTGGTTTCTGATAAAATGGCTGATTTCCCAGCTTTAGGCAGGAGTTGTGGGGTGGAAGGAGGAAGGCTGAAGAAGATAGAAAAGGAAGCCTGGGCTGATACTTAAAGAATGTAAAAGTGGCCAAGCATGGTGGTTCATGCCTGTAATTCCAGCATTTTGGGAGGCCAAGGCAGGAGGATCATGAGGTCAAGAGATTGAGACCATCCTGGCCAACATGGTGAAACCCCGTCTCTACTAAAATTACAAAAATTAACTGGGCATGGTGGCATGTGCCTGTAGTCCCAGCTACTCAGGAGGCTGAGGCAGGAGAATCGCTTGAACCTGGGAGGGAGAGGTTGCAGTGAGTCGAGATCTTGCCACTGCACTCCAGCCTGGCAACAGAGTGAGACTCTGTCTCAAAAAACAAAAAAGTTAAAAGTGTAAGTTTTGAATACAGCAAAACCAACCAATAATAGCTCTCAAAAGAAACAGCACAACAGATCAAAGGTAGAAGGGCTTGGAGTAAATACCAGAAACTAGAAAACAGATGGTTTAGCAAGTCATAGGGAACAAAGTATGGGAT